AGACCGGAGTCGTCAAGCCATCATTCAAATTGCTTCAGCATGGCTGGAAGTATGGATGTCAACGTCAACCGTGTTCACCATGAGGTATCGCCATCGCCTGAGAGTCAAATTCAATCTCTGTCAAGGTGCCAATGGCCTTGTGCTTGTCTCGGTGGTCCTCTTACCACGTGTTGTGTAGAGGTTAACTCACACCTCAGTTCAAGTCTAAAGACTTTTGGGTTTAACAAACCCCCATCGTCCTTGGAATCAACGTATTCTCAAGTTTGGTTTTAAAATGTGTCTTGGTTTCTATGCCAGTCAATTCAATGAAATTGTCGGAGTTTGTCCTTAGTCTTTCAGCAACCCACAGTGCTTTCAATCCTTTGTAAAGGTCTGTCTTAAGTTTAGCAACCATTTGCCAAGTGCAAAACTTGTCTTAAACATTTATGTACATTTTAAGTGGCAACCAAAGTATTTCTGAATCCTATCCCTGTGTATGGTGTAACTTTTTGTTCCATTGAATAGGTGTTGAAGTGTCGGTTAGCCTTGTGTGTGTACAGTTTACAGTCCGTCATTGTGTATGAAAGTTTTCAAGTCAATTTCATTGTTTTACGACAATCTAGTGTGCAAAAAAAAAAAAAACCATCATCGTTTTGTCCTGCCTTATTCATGCTTGGTCTCTTCGGAGCTAAGGTCTAGTGACGCCTTGCTGTGATGTTGTTGCAAAGTGCTCAAATGCACTGTTTAGCCTCATGTGCAAAATAATTCAGTCTTGTTCTCATCTACTGAGGGTTAATTTAACTTTTTAAACATTTCTAGTCAAGTTGCATCTTTTGTCTAACAATCCAAGTTAACTTTAGCAGTGCTGCACGCACTCTGTGTCCAATGTTAGTCAACCTAACTTGTTTTAGTCTCATTGTAAGCATCGTATTTCATTTCAGTCAATTCAAGTGTCTTTTCAATGTCTCAATCATCTAAGTCTTAATCGAGCTCATTTGTTGTGTCATTTCAAATACAATGCCAGTTCGCCCCTGCGCAAGTAGTCTTGTGCTCCATGCACTGTCAAGTCTAACGTTAGCATTGTCTGTGCCAATAGCACTGTCTGTTGCCTGATCAGCAACAAAAACCTAATGCATTAGTAAAGTATTTCGTTGCCCCGCAACAAAAGTCAAAGTCGAGCTCTCATCATTAGTAGTTTAATTCAAGTCCTTTGTCATTGTCCTTTTTAGACTGTGTCTTGTGCACTTAATTGCATCAATCAGTGTCATTCATGTCAAATACTTTTAAGTTTTAGTTGTAAGTGTGTCATTTTGTCTAATTCAACTTTTACCTCCATGGTTCTTTCAAAGTTTTGTCAAATGAAGTTAAATCGCTATTCAAGCTGTAATTCTTGTTCGTCAACGTCAAGTCATAAGTCTTGCTCTGGTGTAATTTCAACCCTGCCGTCTAACGTCAGTTATGTTTGCCTTTGTATAGAGTCAAATCATGTCAAGTGTTCACTAATTTTATTCATTCATTGTCGTTTGGTCTGTCTGTGCTTTAAATCATTCTCTCTTTGCTTGAGGAGGATGAGAAGTTTGTGATATTTACATTGTGATGTTCTCAATTAACTTATTTTTAGTCGTAAGTCATCTCCACTATTTGTGCTTCAACCATTTCTATACATTCTCTCTTTGCTTGAGGAGGATGTCGTGTATTCACACTACAAGATAATCTGTAAATAGTCC